GATTTTAAGTATTCTCTAAAAAAGCATGTGAGGTAATGCTTATGTTAAATAGCTTGACTTAACCATTCTAGGGCATGTACACATATTAAAATATTGTCTTTACAGCATAAATACACTTGTACTTGTCAATTAAAAATAAAAATGTTTCTTATTTTGTTACATTTAGTTTTCTTATCCTGGCATAATGTCCATAACCTCTGAGTTTCATTTTTCTTTGTTAGTTTTGGATTCTTTCATGTTAGAAACTTTCCTTAAATATTTTGTGATTCCAGGACCCTTGAAAATGTTTATTAAGATTAAGGCCAGGTAACAAGGACCCGAGTTCGATCCCTGGTACCAAAAAAAAAAAAAAAAAAAAAAAAAAGATAAAGGCCGGGTATGGTGGTGCATACCTGTGATCCCAGCATTTAGGGTTGAGGTTGAGGCAGGAGGAGGATTACCTCAACTTGCAGATCACCCTGTGCTACATAATGAATGCAAGGCGAGCCTGAACTGCATAGCAAGACCCAGTCTCAAAAAAAAAAAAAAAAAAAAAAAAAAAAAAAAAAAAAAAAAAAAAAAAAAAAAAAAAAAAAAAGAAAAGAAAAGAAAAGAAAAAGAAACATGCATACTGAGCTCTGATGCTTGATATTTTACCCCTACTTTTTTTCCAGCCCTCCTGTTGAAAGCGAGGAGGTATGCGTACTCTTTCTGAAGCTAAAGTGAGTTTAGCTATTGAGGTCACATAAACCATTCATGTTTATGGTACTGGATTCTTTTTTCCTAACCCTCTCCTCCCTACTTCTCATAATTAAGAATTTAGTTGTTTATAAAGCAGGAAGTTTGGAGGTAGGCCATTGCTGGATGATTTCACAATTTAACTGTCAGAGTCAGCATTTGCAATTGTTTTTAATTTTCCCTGGGGCGGGGGGTTGGTTCCAGGTGGTAATTGTAACTCTAACCATAATGTTTGTATTTAAGTCCCCCCCCCCAAGAAGGAAATTACCTATGCTTATCACAGTAGGACAAATGCATAGTCTTTCCCCACCAACAAACTTTCTGTTGGGTCTCACTGGTAGGCATATTACCACTTGCACAAAATTAGAACTTTGTCAGAAAGGAAGAAGAGGAAGAGATACACATAAGGTAGTCTGAAGTGGAAAATTTATGGTCTCTCTCCCCAAGGAGTTAATAACTTTGTAGAAACAAAATGTGTATATTTGAATAATATGGGAATAAGGAAGAGACAATAATACAAGTGACAACAGTGGAGAGGAGATCTGATCTTTAGAGCTCTCATATGGCCCATAATTGTTTAAGGAGCCCTGTTGGTGAAAATTTTACGTCTTAGCTGGAATCTGGCCTACTCCTTGCATTCCATACCATGCTTTGCTGACTTATGCCAGATGGGTGGATATTTTTCTTTTTTTGTTGTTTTTTTTCAGATAGGGTCTCACTGTGTAGTAGTTTAAGCTGCCCTGGAACTCACCATGATCCTTGTGCTTGCAAGGCAGGCCACTGAACCGCTGAGCTAATTCCCCGGCCCAACTGTGATTTTGATTTGTATTTACTTGATGATGAATGTTCAGCATCTTTCATGTGCACATTGTCCATTTGTGTATCTTTGAAGAAATGTCTGTTCAGGGCTGGGGATTTAGCTCAGTGGTTCCACCACCGGCCTTGTAAGCACAAGGTCCCAAGTTCAATCCCCGGTAAGGGGGTGGGGGGTTGAGGCTTGTTCAACCCAGTTGACGTTGCAATATGAAAATTTACCTTAAATTCCTGGGGTTGTATTAGTAAAATAAAAACTGAAGTAGACGGCAGTGGTATTATATTGAGATTGATGTTAAGAAGATACTGTGTTTATATTTGGTATTTACTGCTAGACTTGTCATCCAGTCTTCTAAGAGATGTCTGATGTTGGTATAACTTAAGAAACTTAAAAGTGCAAGTGTAAAATGTTAATTTTGTCATCTTTTACTTTTTAAATGACATTGCTCAGTTAACTGGAATGCCTTTTGGCTTGCATCCTTTCTTTGCTTGTGTCTATGGATGACAGCCCTTGCTATTGTCTAAGTAGGAAGCTTTCTTGATCTGTTCATTTTTTGTGTGCTCCTGGGGATCTAACTCTTCTGCTTGTGAGACAAGCTCAGCACCACTGAGGTAAATCCCTGGCCCGGTAGAAAGCTCTCTTGTATTGTTAGGTCTCAAAAGTTTCAGCTCTCAAAGTCCAAAAAAAGTATAGTCTAGGAGATACCTAAAAATAATAAAAATCTGCCTACCTTAAACATGACCTTTTGAGTTTTGAATTTTATTTAGAATTTTCTTAATGCCTATAATTTAGAGATATTTTGGCTGTTCTTTGGGTCTATTCTAAGAAGAATGATAACAGTAATCTTTGCTGTGGTACTTTTTAAATCATTTGTATTGCACACAGAATGTTAATTGGCTCTATTAATCAAAGTTACATTTTGTTTTTTCTCTCACTTTTTTGACAATAGGTACATAAACCTACTTGTGCTTATTTCTTGTAGTTATTTTTTGCTTGGGTGAAATGTTAATTCCTTCATTAACTTCTGATAGTCCAGAAGTAATAATATATTTTGTAGATTTCATATCCTTTAAACAACAATTCTTTTATTTCAGTCTGCTTTTGTGCATTTGGCTAGCTTGGCCTAAATATTTGATTCATTAAGTTATATGGGTGTTGGGTGAGGTCCTGTTTGTAAGACTTTATTGTTCATAGTGTTCTTACCTGGGTGAGAAGTGTTACTGTTATTAACAATCCACAAAATCTAGGTGATCATTAGAATCATCTAGGGAATTTAAAGGTAATAGTAACAATATCAATTCCTAAGTCCTGCTGTAACCCTATGAATCAGAATGAGCCTTGGGAATTTGTACTTTTAGAAAATACCTCAAATGGTTATCATATTAAGGTTTGAGAACCATTGCTTTATGTGCAAAATTTCTACTGTGTAAGAGTTAGAAAGCACATGCTGGATGTGGCAGTGCAATCCCAGCTCTTGTGTGGAGGCAGAACACAAGTTCAAGGCCATCCTGGACTATGTAGTGAGGCCCTGCGTTTGGGGGAGGGGGTGGAGAAATGTTCTAGATTGAGCTTCATTCCCTTTCCACTCTTAATTAATTTTAGTAATGCTAGTAATTAATAATTATTGAATATTTACCATTTGAGGCAATGTACTGTATCTGATGTTTTTGCTCGCTCTCTCTCTTTTTTTTTTTTTTTTTTTTTTTAGGAATCAAAAAGGTCCTTGTGCTTGTGGGGCAGGGGGGGGAACCCT